ACAGGGTGTTAGCGGGCTGGCGAATGGGGCGAGAAGGAGAAGGAAGAGGAGGAAGAGAAGGCTTTCCGAGTCGTAAACCGAGATGGCGCGCAGCCTGGGCGCGGCGCAATGAGCAAGAGATTTGTTATTGCAGCTCTCGCGCTCTGCTCCGCCGCCCCGCCGCCGGGTCGAACGGGTCGTCACCATCTCCACGAACACAAGACTCTCCCCCCCCCCTTCCCTCTCCCCCCAAACTTCCCACAAGCTCGCCGCCACAGCCGCGCGCGCACACACGTCCCCTTATATATATCGAATAAAATCGATTCCTTTTCGATCCTTTGTTCGCTGTGCGCTTGCTCTTTTGTTCTGCTTGCGTAAGGACCTGCTGCGCGGCGCGACCGCCGCTAAATATAACCACCGACCTGCGCGCCCCGCCCCGCCCCGCCGCCGGTTGGTTCCGCCTCCGCCCACGCTCGTTGCTGCGCCCGTCCGGATGTTGAACGGCGCCGGGCCCGCGTGCGCGCGGCTCGTGTATTTCCGTCGGCGGTGAGCCCCGGCGCGCGCTCGGGCGGCGTTTTGGTAAGCGGAGAGGAAGACGCAGTCAGCCAGATCTCACGTTTCCGAGAATAATTATTATTGTACCCTATGGTGCGAGCGAGCGAGAGAGTGGGAGGGATGGAGTACGGAAGTGGGGGGGGGGGGGGTCGACGGTCGACCCCTACCGGCAGACGACTGCAGAGAGGTCTGCAACAGGGACGCCACCTGACCTGGTTTAACACTACTGGTGTTGGAGGGGATGGTCGTGGTGGTGGTAGTAAATTATTGGCATACCTTTCACCCCCACCCCAGTCCCCATGAATTAAAACAACAACAACAACGACAACAACAGCTCTCTCTGGTCCTGCCAACGAGGCATTTCATTAGCTGGGAGTGCACAGGGCCGCGGCGTGTAATTGTCAGCTCCGCTGACAAAGTGGCACACTATTCCCCCCTGTCTGGCAGTCAAAAGGGCCAAAGTGTCGGTCGACACGACCGCCGCTGGGCTGGAAGTCGCCGGGCGTGATAGCATGGTGCGAGTGACGGGGCGGGGTGTGACGGGGCGTGGCGGGGCGTGGCGGGGTGTGACAGGGCGGGGTGTGGCGGGGCGCGCTGCTGGTCCGCGCGTGTCAGTGACGCGCCGTCGGGCCGGCGAGGCGTGATCAGCAGCGCGTTGACGCTGACACAGTAATCTGCGCGAGTGACTGGCTGCCACCGGCAGCGCCAACTCGGTATCAGGGCCACGGTCCACTCACTCGCTCCCTCTCCACTCTACTCTACTCTACTCCTCTCCACTCCACTCTTCTCCACACACCACTCACTCCCACTCAAAGCTTTCGTCGCCTCGCCTCGCCGTAATCGGCGGCGTGCTGCGCGAGCCGTCTAGCGGTGCAGCCTGTGGGGTAGGCAACGCGGCTGCACCAGCGCGCACCTGGTTGCCTATCCACCGATTCACAGGCGCCCGCAGAGGCGACCCCGCGAGCCGTCTAGCCGAGCGGCCTGTGAGGTAGGCAAAACGGCTGCACCCGCGCGCACCTGGTTGCCTATACACCGATTCACAGGCGCCCGCAGAGGCCGACCCCGCGCCGCCGGGGCAGGAGAGCAGTGTCGTTCTAAATTATCAACTGCTGGAAAAAAGGTGTGTGTATGTGTGTGTGTATGTGTGTGTGTGTGTGTGTGTGTGGAGTGAGTGAGATTGAGAGCGGGTTAAAGTGAGAGGAAACAAGGGGGAGGGGGAGAGCAGAGAGAGAGAGGATCGAAGGGGTAGCGCTATAAGTAGGCGGGCGGCCGAGCCCTCCCACGTCCTGTCGCTGCATTCATCTCCATTTACCCAATTCAATTTCCTCCCCACCGCGCGCCGCGCCGAGCCAAACTCCTCGCAACTCGAAAACTTGCCCGGTTATCTTGTCATGTTCCCAAGTTGGTGCGGGCGGCGGCGGCGGCGGCGGCGGTGGTGGTGCGGCGGGGCGTGGCGGGGCGTGGCGGGGCGTGGCGTGGCAAACCAGGCTTGGCGGGCTCGGCGGGGAGGCGATTGGACGGCTCGGCCTGGCCCGCCGCCGGCCCAGGCGACGCAACTAGTCGTACCCGCGCTGGCGGTCAGGCGAGCAGGCAGCCAGGCGAGGCAGCCAGCCAGCGGCCCACCTGCTATAAATAAGCCTCGCGGGTCCGCGCCGGGGGGCAGGCGGAGGGGCTGCTTTTGGCATTTCGCGGCTGCGAATCCATATTTTATTTCCCCCACGGCCGGCAGACCTTTCACCCTCTCACTCTCTCCTGCTCCTTTACTTAATCCCTCTTTCTCTCTCCTTTCTCTCTACTTCTCGCCAAGGAAAAAAATCACGAGGGTCGCGCGAGAAAAACAAACGAAAATTTGTAAAAAATAAAATAAACGCTTCGTTTGAGTTATGGCGTTGGTTTCAGTTTTAGTGGTTTCAGTCGTCCGCTGCCGCTGCTGCCTATCAACTGTTACCGTGCTCCATTCTTCGCGTTGTTGGTCTGGAGCTAGGGCCAGCCAGCGCCTTGATTACAAAATACAGGTCGTGTTCACTAAAGCAAGCGCGGCCTTTGCCTAGGGTTTGTATGCGGGGCGGCGGAGAGAGATAGAAGGTTGGAGTTGGGAGGGGGAAAGGGGAGAGAGAAAGAAAAGAGAAAAAGGGAGGGGGCAAGGGGAGGAGGGGAGAGACTAGCAAAAGCTGATAAGTTTTTTTTCTCCCGTGAATGGGATCGCGGGCGTATCTCCCTTCTCCCTTAACACCCACGCGTGCGCAGTCAGCGACGCCGCGCCACCGCGCGTTTCTGTTGGAGGACGCCAGCGGTGGGTACCCTCCGGGCCCACCGCAGTCCCCCTTGCCACCCCTAGGATGCGACCCCTGGGCCCATCCCCATTGTGATCCCTACATATTGGACCCCGGGGGAGAACCCTCGGGCTGCGACCAATCGCGACCCCTTTGGCACGCTGTCGGCGCACTTCTCTCTTCTATACACTGATAAACTACTGATAAACAAATTGCTACACTATTCTAATTTTAAAAAGAAACGCAATGACCGACTTTTTGAGGAAAAGAGGAAAACTTTACGGGACTGCTCCTATATTTTGAGGAAAACTCCTTAGATTGTGAGAAAGTCTCCCCCAAAAATGTGGTAGTAATTCCCCTTATTTTATCCTCAAAAAATATTTTTTCAAACCGCGAAGGAGTCCCTTAGTTTTCCTAAAAAAAAATCAGCCATTGTTTTCACCGTGTTTCTTATTTTCAACAGTAGATAGTAACCTATGCTCCATCATATGTACCAAATGTAGCACAACACTGGAAGCTGAATTACCTGCTTTCAAAACGTACAAAACAATCTCCCACTTCAGTTGAGTGGGGTGGCTCAGAATGATGTAAGCTGGCCGCGTCAACTTTTCCTTCCTTTATCGTCATTCCCTGATTCTTCTATTTACGAGCTGTATCGATTGTCTCCATCAAGAATGACACGGTTCGCGGGCAACCCTCCCGCCCTCAAGCCTCAAGCCCCCGGCCCAATCCCCCCTGCTCCCTTAGACACGCTTCCGCGAGATATCAGTTTACCCCCTCTCCATCTCTCCGACTCTCTCTCCCTCCCTTCCCCCATGTGGTGGCCACGCTAGCTTCCCTGCCGCGAGACAGTAATTTACTGTCTCCTTCTTTCATTTCGCCATCACCAGGGGAGTGGAGCGGCCTGAGAAGAGAGACCCGCGTGGCGTGGCGAGGCATTTGCCCGTCGGCGAGAATGTCCACAACAGTGTCACCTCTCTCTCTCTCTCTCTCCCGCAAAATATTGTTTCATTTCCGTTCTTTTGTTGTAATCACGGGTGCACCCGGTAAAACCATGGTAAAGCGACCGGTAGTGTGTTTCCCTTAACAAAAAAAAATCACAAGCGTGGATTTTTTTGTATTATTATTTTGGAATGCTATATAGCATTGGTTTTGTTTCTGTTAAAAATAGTTTTTAGGTGATGATACTTCTAACTGTGACCTTTACGTTTACAAAGTTGAGTTAGTTTCGGTGTAATTTTAATAAAATCGTCCGCAGTAATTTTCCCTACAGTGCACGATAAGTGTAGAAGAACAAAACAGTTCTGAGTAGTTATAATTGTAGAACTTCATGATGTGCAGCAGGAAGGCCCTGTATATAACAAGGTGTCTAGCTGAACTAATAAGAGAACAACATTATACAGTTCTACTGCTGCAACTCTAGAACCACAGGTTATTTGCAACTTACCGGTGGCATGCTGTTCTATACGTAGATGAGCAGCAGGGTAGGTAGGGGCGTAGGGAGGGCGATGTGAAGGTCGGCCGGGCGGCGGTACACGGCCATGGGTTTGGATCTGCCGGAGAGGGGAAGGGTGAAGGGGATAGGGGGTGCGGTGGAAGGATAAGGGGCTAAGGGGTGGAAGGGTGGGGGTGCGAGTGATATGTATTCCTGTCGCACAGCCCTGTGTGTCTATATGGGGAGTGCGGCGGGGGGACACACATCGGGGTCCCACATCATCGGGGGACCTTAGAGCCCCCCTCGCGCACTGCCCTTCTGCGGGACCGAGAGAGAGAAAGAGAGAGGGGAGGGGGGGGGGGCGGAGTGGGGAGGAGAAATCTGGCTGAATCTCGCTCTGCTGAACGCTGCCGACTGGAACAGCGAAAAGAGATTCATGACCAGCAGGGCGATGAGTGACAGGTGGCACACCTGGGTTGAGAGAGGGGAGAGAGGTAGAGAGAGAGAGTGGTAGGAATGGAATGAAGTGTGGCCGGTGGGGCGTCAGATGCCAAGACGTTATTCGGAGCCGGGAACACGACAAAAAAAAACAGGTCTAATTTGATGGGAAAATCGTAAAAAATTTCAAAAAAGTTAGGAACGCTTCTTATTTTAGGAGTGGGAAGAATATCGACCTATAACGACAGCAGACTTTGTTTGTAC